GAAACAGATAGATATAGATAGATAGATAGATAGATAGATAGATAGATAGATAGATGAGATCAGATGATAGATAGATAGAAACAGATAGATAGATAGATAGATCAGATAGGAAACAGATAGATAGATAGATAATAGATAGATAGATTAAAAATAGGTAGATACATAGATAGATACAGATAGATTAAAAATAGATAGATAGATAGGGAATCAGATACAGATAGATAAATAGATAGATAGATATGATAGAATTAAAAATAGGTAATCATAGGATCAGATAGATAGACAAACAGATAGATAGATAGATAGATAGATAGATAGATAGATAGATAGATTGATAGATAGATTAAAAATAGGTAGATACATAGGATCAGATAGATAGAAACAGACAGATAGATAGATAGATAGATAGATAGATAGATTAAAATAGATTAAAACATAGGATCAGATACATGGGAACAGATAGATAGATAGATAGAAGATAGATAGATAGATAGATAGATAGATAGATAGATAGATTAAAAATAGGTAGATACATAGGATCAGATAGAGAGAAACAGACAGATAGATAGATAGATAGATAGATAGATAGATAGATAGATTAAAAATAGGTAGATACATAGGATCAGATAGAGGTGAGAAAACAGATAGATGAATAGATTTAAAAATAGGTAGATACATAGGATCAGATAGAGATAGAGAGAAACAGATAGATAGATAGATAGATAGATAGATAGATAGATAGATAGATAGATAGATTAAAAAGTAGGTAGATACATAGGATCAGATAGAGGTAGAGAGTAACAGATAGATAGATAGATAGATAGATAGATAGATAGATAGATAGATAGGATCAGATACAGGTAGAGAAAAACAGATAGATAGATAGATAGATAGATAGATAGATAGATAGATAGATAGATAGATAGATTGCAGACCCGTTTTATAGACGCGATAATGAATGAACTCGTTGAAAGTTGAGAGAGAATTGGAGATTTTACGAAATAATTGACAGATCGCTTGCTTTGAAATCACGTTTCCTTCCATGGTGTCTACATGGCGTAACGAATGTTATCGACTCGATAACCTCGGACCTCACTGCCAGCAATTAACTGCTCTAACCAATGTGCTACACCGGCAAATGAAAGTGTTCGAACACCGTTAGAGAGAGGTCACGAACTCTGAATAATGCCACTCTCCACTTAGACGAACGACGTAACTGATATTGTCAGTTATGTCAGATTTGATATGTCAAATTTGTCCTCCACCGTTACATCCCCTCCCCCGTCGCAGCTCACATTCAAACTTCTACAGTCTCCCTTTCTCTTTCTCTTTCTTCATCTGTTCAGATTCACTCTCTTTATTCTTCTTCGTTCTTCTCTTTTCCTGTCTCAGTTTCATCTTCGTTTCTACCATTTTTTTTTCTTCGCCGTTTTTTCGACTTCAACTTTCGATGTCTTCTTTCAGCTTTCTGAGGATTTTCTGCCACTCTGTAACTTTTCGCTACCTTTAATCATTTTTTTCTGATCTCTATCTTCGTATACTTGTCATCTGACTACAACCAGCCACTTCTATCTATCTATCTATCTATCTATCTATCTATCTATCTATCTCAGAGATTTCTTTCTCTCTCTGTATCTATCTCAGGCTGTACTTTATGTTTTCTCTCTCTCAGACTATCGATCTATGTCAGGCTGTTCTTTATTTCTTTCTCTCTCTCTCTCTCTCTCTCTCTCTCTCTCTCTATTTATCTATCTCAAACTGTTCTTTTCTCTCTCTCTCTCTATCTATCTATTCCAAACTGTTCTTTTCTCGCTCTCTCTCTCTCTCTCCCCATCTCTACCTATCTGAGACTGTTCTTTATTTCTCTCTCTATCTATCTATCTATCTATCTATCTATCTATCTATCTATCTGAAACTGTTCTTTATTTCTCTCTCTATATATCTCAGAGAGTTCTTTCTTTCTCTCTCTCTCTCTCTCTATCTATCTATGTGAAGCTGTTCTTTATTTCTCACTCTCTCTATCTATCTCAAACTGTTTTTCTCTCTCTCTATGTATATGAGATTGTTCTTTATTTCTCTCTCTCTCTCTCTCTCTCTATCTATCTATCTATCTATCTATCTATCTATCTATCTATCTCAGACAGTTCTTTCCCGCTCTCTCTCTATCACAGGCTGTACTTTATCTTTTTCTCTCTTTCACACTATCTATCTATCTATCTATCTATCTGAGACTATTCTTTATTTCTCTTTCTCACTCTATCTTTCTGAGGCTGTACTTTATCTTTCTCGCTCTCTCATACTATCTATCTATCTATTCTAGTCTTTTCATATCTATCTATCTATCTATCTATCTATCTATCTATCTATCTATCTATCTATCTATCTCAAACTTTTCTTTTCTCTCTCTCTCTCTCTCTCTATCTATCTATCTCAGACAGTTCTTTCTCTCTCTATCTCTATCTTTCTGAGGCTGTAATTTATCTCTCTCTCTCTCTGACACACTATCTATCTATCTATCTATCTATCTATCTATTAGTGTCTTCAAAATCTATTTTGACTTCTCCTTTTCAGATATGTTGTGTTATTTTCATATCTATCTATCTATCTACCTATCTATCTATCTATCTATCTATCTATCTATCTATCTCTTCAAAATCTATTTTGACTTGTCCTTTTCAGATATGTCGTGTTATTTTAATATCTATCTATCTATCTATCTATCTATCTATCTATCTATCTATCTATCTATCTTTGAGTGAAACCAGGTAGCGTCTCGGATATGTTTGACATATTGGCAGGACATAACGGTCGTGCGCACTAAGAAACTAACAAAGAGAAGGACAAGCAAAATTATTATATGATTGACGATATGCCAGATAGAGGTTTGAGTGCGCCTGCTAGAGATGAGATAGCATAAGGATATAAACGAGAAAGATTGTGCATGGAATATACGTCCCCCTATGGGTCTGACGGTGTCACCCTGGTAAAAAAAGGAAGTTTTCTTGGCTGAAAACAATTTTGCTGTCCAGCAACAGAAAAAAAAATCTGGCCAATCGAAAGTTATTTCTGTAAAGACCTCAGCTGAACATTTTCTAAGGCGATCAAAAATACATAAAAAACGTTTTCCTTGTCGTGTCAGTCACTGATTGGTCAACATCTTCTGACGAGGAGAGTTGCTGAAATTTAATGGGGAAACAGTTTGCACTGAATTGTATTAAAATGAAAGAATAGAAGCAATTTAATAGGCAAATGTTAAAAAATACATAAATGAAAATATTTAAAAAATTAACTTCGATCTTTTTAAAATATCCATATATTTTTTAATGTCTTTAAACACAAAATGTGAACTTTTCAGTTGAAATCTTTTTAATATTCCGAAATACAAAATCCTGTATTTAAATGTCAGAAACATTATCCATACAGAGAAATGCTTTAATATTATACATATAAATCCTTCTATCTATATATATATATATATATATATATATATATATATATATATATATATATATATATATATATATATATATATATATATATATATTATAGTTCTTCCAGAGAGAGAGAAAAGTTTATATTCTTAAGAGAAGCTGAAACGTTTTTGGTTATAATATGGATTTTTAAGAAATATATATTATAATTTTTTTCCATATTTTTTGATACACAGGTTTTGGGTTTTGTGACCTTCATCAGGTGAAGAATGGTTATTTTCACATATTATTTATAGGAATTATTTTTTTTCTTATGTTTAACCATTGTCATTTGTGTGTGGTAGCAATTCAAATTCTTTTCGGAGTAGTTAACAAATCTTCCATTGTTTAAAGGGTAAATAAAACAATTACGATTGGTTAAAGAAAGAGGGAAGGAAAGATGTTTTTGTTATGCTTTTATGACATCTGTATATTTTTAAAACCATTTCCATTTTTGTGCATTATGCGCGTGTGTGCTTTTTTGCTAGTATGTGTATAAATATTCCTTCTTTATACATATATATTGTTTATTACAAGGAAATAGTATATATATATATATATATATATATGCACGCAGACATTTCGTACCTTGTGCAGTGTTCATGTGTGTGTGTGTGTGTGTGTGTGTGTGTGTGTGTGTGTGTGTGTATGTGGTCCGACTAGTGTGTTCTGCCACTGTGTATGTTTATGTGTGTGGGCTCTGTGGGATTTGTTTAGTGCTGGTTTAAATTTGTCTATTAAGTTTTTTTCTTGTATTTGTAAGTAAGAATAATTGTCTGTTTGATATATTGGTATAATTTTAAATTTTCCCATGATTGCATTTGTGGATGTTTTGCGACACAAAGTGTTTCCTGATGGTCTGGTAATTTAATGTTTTTGTTCTTTAGTGCTTGGATGATACTTATATAGGACTTGTTGCATTGTGTACTTGAATGCAGAAATCATTTTTGAAGTTGCAGTTTTTCTTCGTTGTGAATGTTGTGGGGTTTTCAAAAGTGTAGGTGTTTCCTTCTATAATGATATCACAAACCCCACATCGTTTTTGTTTCATTTTGTGACCCCCCTGTATTGTATGTTGGCTAAATTTGGATGGAGGTAATATGTGTTTTAGGTTTTTTGATTGGCATTTGCTTTTAATTATCTTGGTTGTTTTTATTATATCTTTCTTTTTATCATTCTTGTTAAGTAGGTCTAGATTTCTTGTAATTTCTGTAAATAGTTCTGGATTATTATTGTTGTATGTTGTGACGATAATTACAGACATTGTGTCTGCTAATTTTAACAAAATCCGTTTATACTCACGAATAGACATCCATGTTTTGATGTTAAAGGAAATAGAGATATTTACTATAGTTGTTTAAATTTCTTTTATTTTCATTTCCCAACTACTTTCGATCTTCTTCCAAGATCATCTTCAGGGGTGCAAGTAGTACAAAACTATATGTTGTTCATTAATACAAGTATTTATGCAAAGGTGTGCGTTTTTATCCATTACTGTAATTTTTTTCATTAAGCTTTTAAATGCAAAACAGTTGATAATGTGCTGAGCGTTCATTACAACATGAAAAATTATCCATTATGGAATTTTTTCATGTTATAATGAAAATGAAAATACCAGAAATTTAAACAGCTATAGCACATTTCCCTCATCCTTTAACATCAATACACAAAAGGTTATTCGTGAGTATGAAAGGATTTTGTTAAAAATTAGCAGACATAAGGTCTGTAATTTATTCAATCAGACATGCCTAAAAGAGAATTTGCTGCCCAAATACACAAATTTTAATTTGTATTTAGATACATTGTATTTACTTAAAAGTTTTCTAGTTGAATGTTTCACCTATACTACATATAATCCATTATTGTACATAAGTAGGTTACAGTAAAATTTGTATTTTATATGAATACTAATTTACGAAAATTGACATGTGGGGCACTCGTATTATAGATTCAGGGCACGAGACCCTTGCAATGACATTGACCCCTATAATCAGTTTCTTTGTATATCGGCCATTAAAATGTACATATTGTCTTGGAGAGATAGTTTAGTTCCATAGGCTGGGTGCAGTATTATGATGATTGAGAACAAAAAATGTTACTGGCGTTGAATACTTTTAGTGTTAGGAACAAATTTGTAAGGATGGATCATGAAAAAATCTAGCTAAGAATGGCTAAGTTTCTTATAGACGAACGAGTTAGTGTACATTAACTGGAAAGTTGTTAGATTTGGGGAAATAGACCGAGCCGATAACATTTCAGAAACCTCTCATCTATCTATCTATCTATCTCAGGCTGTTCTTTATTTCTCTCTCCCCCTCTCTCTCTCTCTCTCTCTCTCTCTCTCTCTCTCTCTCTATCTATCTATCTATCTATCTATCTATCTATCTATCTCAGGTTGTTCTTTATTTCTCCCTCTATCTATCTATCTATCTATCTATCTATCTATCTATCTATCTATCTATCTATCTATCTCAGGTTGTTCTTTATTTCTCCCTCTATCTATCTATCTATCTATCTATCTATCTATCTATCTATCTATCTATCTCAGACTGTCCTTTATTTCTCTCGCTGTCAGTCTATCTATCTATCTATCTATCTATCTATCTATCTATCTATCTATCTCAGGTTGTTCTTTATTTATCTATCTATCTATCTATCTATCTATCTATCTATCTATCTATCTATCTATCTATCTCAGGTTGTTCTTTATTTCTTTCTCTATCAATCTATCTATTTAGCTGTCTCAGGCTGTTCATTTCAGCAACCTCTCATCTATCTATCTATCTATCTATCTATCTATCTATCTATCTCAGGCTGTTCTTTATTTCTCTCTTTTCTCTCTCTCTCTCTCTCTCTCTCTCTATCTCAGGCTGTTCATTATTTCTCTCTATGTCTATCTATCTATTTATCTATCTATCTGGCGCACGGATATATCACGTTGAAACACCACTTCCCTTAAGATCATCGAAGTTAAGCAACGTCGAGCCTGGTCATTACCTAGATGGCTGACATCTTGGGAATATCAGTTGTTGTAAGCTTGGATGTGCGGGTGGTTTAATGTGCAATAGCTCGAAATTGTTGTTGGAGAGCTGAGTTCAAATTCTTGTTGGACTCGTTATATTAACCTAAGTACAAATACCACCGGAAAAAGCATGAATCCACCTTTTCTTACCCCAGCTATGGGTTAATTAGTAAGACGTGTGTCTTAAACCATTCTTATCTTAAAAAAATTGTCTTACAATCTAAAGATGTTATCCGGCTTTAAATAACTTGCGATGGGTTGATTAGTCCTATAAATCGAATCGAATCAATCGATTAATCAAATATTGATTAGCTACACAGGCGTGTCTTTTAGATTTATTTACATTCTCTGGAATATAAAAACTATAGAAACTATTATGGTCACAAAGTGAGGGATCAATTTATATATTAATTACAACAGAGAGTTGAAACCCCACTTTATATGCACATTATATTTTCTTGTTTGTTCATCAAATCGTGATTAGGTATGAATTCATCTCTGCAATATAAAATCTATAGAAACTGTTATGGTCATAAAGTGAGGGATCAATTTATATATTAATTATAACAGAGAGTTGATACCACACTTTATATGCACATTATATTTTCTTGTTTGTTCGGTCAAATCACGCTGAAACACCGGTTCTCGTTCGATCACCGAAGTTAAGCATCCAGGTCAGTACTTAGATGGGGGACCGCTTGGGAACACCTGGTACTGTAAGCCCCCAAAGTCCAACCCTTACCTTACAGTCGGTGGGGGGGGGTGTAAACAGTAGTGTCAGAGCTATGCCGCCCGGAACTTCGTTCCTGGTAGACCACCCAAGGCGGACAGGTCTGACACACACGCCAACTAACAAGGGCTCTGGTGAAAATCCAAGGAGCGTCTGCATCGGTAACCTGCGGCTTCTGGTCGTTCCTGTCTCTGCGTCTGTGGGAACCCCCGCGGCAAGCATAGAACGTTATTCATAGCCCTGGGTACCCTACTTCTGTAATTTATCCCAAGAATCTTCTTCTCATAACAGGAAGAAGCCGGCTCAATCCGCCCAGGGTGAATGCCGCATCAGTACAGTACAGTAAATCCTGATTAGGTATGAATCCACCTCTGCAATATAAAATCTATAGAAACTATTATGGTCATAAAGTGAGGGATCAATTTATATATTAATTACAACAGAGAGTTGATACTCCACTTTATATGCACATTATATTTTCTTGTTTGTTCATCAAATCCTGATTAGGTATGAATCCATCTCTTCTCATAAGCCATACGTTAATTAGGATCACTAAACCATTATTATCTCCAAAAATATCTTATAATCTAAAAAATATTTTCTGGCTATAAATAACCTGCAAAGGGTTGATAAACCATAAAAAAAACGATTCTATCTATCTATCTATCTATCTATCTATCTATCTATCTATCTATGCACAAAACCAGATAGTATCAATAATGCATAATTCTTTTCTCACTATAAGAGCGAAGCAATATATATATATTTTTTTACTTTTGGGGTGGTTACAGGTATTAAGTATATTAACCGTAATAGGGAAATATTTAATATTTATAGGGAGGTAATTAATATTTATAGGGAAATATTTAATATTTATAGGGAGGTATTTAATATTTATAGAGAAATATTTAATATTTATAGGTAGGTATTTAATATTTATAGGGAAATATTTAATATTTATAGGGAAATATTTAATATTTATAGGGAATAATTAATATTTATAGGGAGTTATTTGATATTTGAAAATGCATTAGACTACATGGATACTTTTTTGAGTCGTTTATCTTTTTTCTACTCTCATTTTTTTTTCTTTTTTTGTTTTTCTCTTTCTTTCTCTTTTGTTCTTTTTTCTCTCTTTTTTGTTCTTTTTTTCATTCTTTCATTCTTAAACAAATAAACCTTTCTTTTTTAACGTTCAGTCTATAAACATTTCTTTCTTTCTTTCTTTGTCCATTTTTAATCTAAACACCTTTGTATGTTTCATTCTTTCTTTCTTTCTTTCTTTCTTTCTTTCTTTCTTTCTTTCACATTCGCTTTTTCTTTCTACATTTCTTTTTTTCTAAAATGTTTTTCTTTCTTCCTTCCATTTTTCTTATATATTTTTTCATTTCTTTTTGGACTTTCTATTTCATCTTTGTTTCTTTTCTCTTCTTTTTTCTCTTTTGTTATTTCATTCTTAAACAATAAACCTTTCTTCTTTAAAGTTCACTCTAATGAAGTTTTTCTTTCTTTCTTTGCCCACTTTTATACTACACATCTTTGTTTCATCTTTTTGTTTCATTTTCTTTTTTACTTTCTATATTTCTTTCTTTTCTAAAATATGTTTCGTTCTTTCTTTCCTTTCTCTTATATATTCTTTCTCTTTGTGCGTTTATCTTTTCTTTCTTTCTTTCTTTCTTTCTTTCTTTCCTTTCTTTCCTTTCTCTTATATATTCTTTCTCTTATATATTCTTTCTCTTTGTGCGTTCGTCTTTTCTTTCTTTCTTTCTTTCTCTTATATATTTTTTCTCTTTGTGCGTTCATCTTTTTTTTTTCTTTCTTTCTTTCTTTCTTTCTTTCTTTCTTTCTTTCTTTCTTTCTTTCTTTTCTCTTATATATTCTTTCTCTTTGTGCGTTCGTCTTTTCTTTCTTTCTTTCTTTCTTTCTTTCTTTCCTTTCTCTTTCGTTCTTTCTTTCCATTCTCTTATATATTCTTTCTTTTTGTGCGTTCATTTTATCTTTTCTTTCTTTCTTTCTTTCTTTCTTTCTTTCGTTCTTTCTTTCCTTTCTCTTATATATTCTTTCTCTTTGTGCGTTCGTCTTTTCTTTCTTTCTTTCTTTCTTTCTTTCTCTTATATATTTTTTCTCTTTGTGCGTTCATCTTTTTTTTCTTTCTTTCTTTCTTTCTTTCTTTTCTCTTTGTATATTCTTTCTCTTTGTTTCGTTCTTTCTTTCTTTCGTTCTTTCTTTCTTTCTTTTCTTTTCTTTCCATTTCTTTATATTCTTTCTTTTGTGCGTTCATTTCTCTTTCTTTCTTTCTTTCTTTCCCTTTCTTTCTTATATATTCTTTCTTTTTTTTCGTTCTTTCTTTTTTCTCTTATATATTCTTTCTTTTCTTCATCTTTTCTTTCTTTTTTCTTTCTTTCTTTCTTTCTTTCTTTCGTTCTTTCTTTCCTTTCTCTTATATATTCTTTCTCTTTGTGCGTTTTGTCTTTTTTTCTTTTTTCTTTCTTTCTTTCTTTTCTTTCTTTCTTTTCTCTTATATATTCTTTCTCTTTGTGCGTTCGTCTTTTTTTTCTTTCTTTCTTTCTTTCTTTCGTTCTTTCTTTTCCCTCTCTCTTATATATTCTTTCTTTTGTGCGTTCGTCTTTTATTTTTTCTTTCTTTTTTTTCGTTCTTTCATTTCTTATCTTTTCTTTCTTTTGTGCTTTTATCTTTCTTTCTTTCTTTCTTTCTTTCTTTCTTTCTTTCTTTCTTTCTTTCTTTCTTTCGAATTGAATTACTCTTCCATGGCTTACTGTTTTGTTTCATTTTTAATTCGTTTTTCTCCTTAAAGCAAGTATGCGATATTTGAAAATTTGAAGGGAATCTAAGGAACACAAAAATTTCTTGAATCTTTTAACGTTTGTCTTCAGATGCGATTGAATTCGAAAGATGCATTTTTGTATAATTCTTGCCATTTCGTCTTTTGCGTACTGAGACATTGATCGTTCCCGCGAGGTCACTTCGTAAATTAATATATAAGAAAGCGTATAGCCTTATCTTGTTTGAGTAGCGCACCTTATGGAATAGGCAGGAGGTAAAATATAAATAGAGCAATAAAATTAATATTTTTTTGTAAAAAAAGAAAGAAACGAAAAAAAAAAAAGAAGACACACGGGAGATTTTCTTCGGAATTTTCAGAAAACATGGCATATAGCAATAACTGTCCTAGTCTTTGGAATAATGTAATCTGTTAAAATTAATTTTCAGTAAAATTAGAATAAACTATTATTACGTATAGCACATTGTTAATAATTAAAACAAATTGAATTTAAGGTTATCTTTGCTTTGCGATCATGACTCCCGTAATTAGCGTCGCATGGGGATCCACGTGTAAATTCGAGCGGCAGTAGTGTGTCTTGGGCAAGATAGTAGCCCAACCTTCTCCAGACTGATTGAATTCAGAGTTTTCCTTCTCCTCGACTGGTTGCTACGTGATCACAATCACTTCCATAACTCTTTAGGTTCGTAGTGTGATCATATGTACTTAAGTCGTAACAGCGGTAGTTTGTCTTGGGCCAGATAGCCTGATGTAGCTCAACGTTCTGGCTAAATTCAGAGTTTTCCTTCTCCTCGACTGGTTGTAAATATCACGACTTCCGTCACACATAAGTTCCACAGGGGCATCACATATACTGCAGCTGTAGCAGAAGTGATAATTTTTGGATCAAGATAGACAGACGTAGCCCAACCTTCTCCAGGCGGGTTTGAATTCACTTTGTTTCTTCTTGACTGTTTGGTAAATGATCACAAACACGATTACACCTTCCGTAAACCATCAGGATCGCAGGGGTGGGCACCGATATATAATGAAGCTGTAACAAAAGTGATGCGTTTTCGGCAAAACAGCCTGACGTAGCCTAACCCTCTCCAGGCTGGTTTGAATTCAGAATTTTCCTTCTTCTAAACTGGCTGTTAAATAATCACGATCATCATCACGTCTTCCGTAAACAATTTACTTCTCTTTGACCAAGTCTTTTGGGTCAGTCTCTCCTGTTATTTGCTCATGGAGGAGAAAAGATAGATTCATATCTTGCCCATGTGTGTGAGTGAATGTAAGGAGTGCGATTGAAATTTGAACTCGGCTCTTCAATTTTTCTTACCGAATCGCTCCTCTGTGGCGAAACCGGTAAAAGCACGTCAGGTAATATGACGGTTCCGTATAGGATACAGCTTCGATTCCTTTTGGAAGAGGCATATTTTCTATGAAAATTTCTCGGACATTCGGGCCGGTAAATGTTCTTAATGCGGTTTATAATAAACAGAGCATTTACTTAAATATTTGTATCTATAAAAAGAACGTAATAACATGAAAAATGCCTTAAAATAATTGCTCTCAGTGAAAACAGGGTTACAAGTTACTTAGTGAAAACAGGTTTTTAATTCTTAGTGAAAACAGGTTACAAGTTTATTAAGTGAAAACAGGGTTACATTACTAAACAGGGTTAAAGTTACTTAGTGAAAAACAGGGTTACAAGTTACTCAGTGAAAACAGGGTTACAAGTTACTTAATGTAAAACAGGGTTAAAGTTGCTCAGTGAAAACATGGTTACAAGTTACTTAAAAAACAGGGTAATTACTTAGTGAAAACATGGTTACAAGTTACTTAGTGAAACAGGTTATGTGAAAGTTGCTCAGGGTTGGTTACAAGTTACTTGGAGTGAAAACAGGTTTACAAGTTACTTAGTGAAAAACAGGGTTACAAGTTACTTGAGTGAAAACAGGGTTACAAGTTACTGAATGAAAACAGGGTTACAAGTTACTCAGTGAAAACAGGGGTTAGTTGTTAGTGGCTGCATGGTTAGTTGTGAAAACAGGGGTAGAAGTTACTCCAGTGAAAACATGGTTACAAGTTGCTTTAGTGAAAACAGGGTTTACAAGTTAAAACAGGGTTACAAGTTAGTGAAAACTTTACAGGTTTAGAAAACATGGTTACAAGTTACAAGTTGTGAAAAAACATGGTTAGTTACTTAAAAACATGGTTACAAGTTACTTAATGAAAATAGGGTTTTAAGTTAATTAGTGAAAACATGGTTACAAGTTACTCAGTGAAAACATGGTTACAAGTTACTCAGTGAAAACAGGTTTACAAGTTACTTAATGAAAACAGGGTTAAGGTTACAAGTTGTTAGTGAAAACATGGTTACAAGTTACAAGTTGCCAAGTTACGAAGAAAACAGGGTTACAAGTTACTTAGTGAAACATGGTTACAAGTTACTCAGGGTTACAAGTTACTTAAAAAAACATGGTTACAAGTTTAAAGTTACTTAGTGAAAACATGGTTACAAGTTACTTAGTGAAAACAGGGTTACTTAAAAACAGTTACTTAGTGAAAACATGTGACTTAGTGAAACATGGTTACAAGTTACTCAGTGAAACAGGGTTACATGTTACTTAATGAAAACAGGGTTAAAACAGGAAAACATGGTTACAAGTTACTTAGTGAAAACATGGTTACAAGTTAAAAACAGGGTTACAAGTTACTCGGGTTACAAGTTAAAAACATGGTTTTACAAAAAACAGGGTTACAAGTTGCTTAGTGAAAACAGGGTTAGCAAGTTAAAGTGAAAACAGGGTTACAAGTTACTTAGTGAAAACAGGGTTACTTAGTGAAAACAGGGTTACTTACAAAAGTTACTTAGTGAAAACAAGGGTTACAGTGAAAACATGGTTACAAGTTGCTTAAAAACAGGGGTGTTAAAAAAACATGGATTTCAGTTGTAGCAGGGTTACAAGTTACTTAGTGAAAACAGGGTTACAAGTTACTTAGTGAAAACAGGGTTACAAGTTACTTAGTGAAAACAGGGTTACAAGTTACTTAGTGAAAACAGGGTTACAAGTTACTTAGTGAAAACAGGGTTACAAGTTACTCGAGAGTTACAAGTTACTTAGTGAAAACAGGGTTACAAGTTACTTAGTGAAAACATGGTTACAAGTTACTTAGTGAAAACAGGGTTACAAGTTACTTAGTGAAAACAGGGTTACAAGTTACTCAGTGAAAACATGGTTACAAGTTACTTAGTGAAAACATGGTTACAAGTTACTTAGTGAAAACATGGTTACAAGTTACTTAATGAAAACAGGGTTACAAGTTACTCAGTGAAAATAGGGTTACAAGTTACTTAGTGAAAACATGGTTACAAGTTACTCAGTGAAAAAACAGGGTTTACCGTTACTTAATGAAAACAGGGTTACAAGTTACAAACATGGTTACAAGTTACTCAGTGAAAATGGGTTATGTTACTTAATGAAAAACAGGGTTACAAGTTACTCAGTGAAAACATGGTTACAAGTTACTTAGTGAAAACATGGTTACAAGTTACGAAACAGGGTTACAAGTTACTAGTGAAAACAGGGTTACAAGTTACTTAAGAAAACATGGTTACAAGTTACTTAGTGAAAACATGGTTACAAGTTACTCAGTGAAACAGGTTGATGTTGAATGAAAAACAGGGTTACAAATTATGGAAAACATGGTTACAAGTTACTTAGTGAAAACATGGTTACAAGTTACTTAGTGAAAACAGGGGTTACTTAGTAGAAAACAGGGTTAAGTTACTTGGTTACAAGTTACTTAGAAAACAGGGTTACAAGTTGCTTAGTGAAAACAGGGTTACTTACTTAGTGAAAACAGGGTTTTACTTAAAAACAGGTTACAAGTTAAGTGAAAACAGGGTTACAAGTTACTTAGTGTTACTTAAGTGAAAACATGGTTAGGTTACTTAGTGAAAACAGGGTTACAAGTTACTCAGTGAAAACATGGTTACAGTTACTTAGTGAAAACAGGATTTACAAGTTACTTGGTAAAACATGGTTACTTAGTGAAAACATGGTTACAAGTTTACAAGTTAGTGAAAACATGGTTACAAGTTACTTAGTGAAAACAGGGTTGTGTTAGTGAAAACAGGGTTACAAGTTACTTAGTGAAAACAGGGTTACAAGTTACTTAGTGAAAACAGGGTTACAAGTTACTCAGTGAAAACAGGGTTAAGTGTTACTTAATGAAAACAGGGTTACTTAGTGAAAACATGGTTTAGTTGCTTAGTGAAAAAAAGGTTATAAATTACTTAGTGAAAACAGGGTTATGTTACTCAGTGAAAAATATGGTTATGTTACTTGAAAACATGGTTACAATTACTAGTGAAAACATGGTTACTTAATGAAAACAGGGTTAAGCAAGTTACTCAGTGAAAATAGGGTTTACAAGTTACTTAGTGAAAACATGGTTACAAGTTACTCAGTGAAAACAGGGTTACAAGTTACTTAGTGAAAACATGGTTACAAGTTACTTAGTGAAAACATGGTTACAAGTTACTTAATGAAAACAGGGTTACAAGTTAATTAGTGAAAACATGGTTACAAGTTACTTAGTGAAAAACATGGTTACAGTGAAAACAGGTTTAGTTACTTAATGAAAAACAGCGTTAAAGTGAAAATATGGTTAAAAAACATGTTACTTTAGTTACAAGTTACTTAGTGAAAAACAGGGTTACAAGTTACAAAGTTACTTAGTGAAAAACAGGGTTACAAGTTTTAGCAAAAACATGGTTATAAGTTACTTAGTGAAAACATGGTTACAAGGGTTATGTTACTTAATGAAAAATAGGGTTACAAGTTACTTCAGTGAAAACATGGTTATGTTACTTAGTGAAAAATGTTTATAAAACATGGTTACTTACAGTGAAAACAGGGTTACAAAAAACATGTTACTTAGTGAAAAACAGGGGAAAGTGAAAAAATAGGGTTATGTTACTCAG